TTTTAATATAGAAAATTATTATATGAGTTTATCGATTATTTCATATTTATATATGATAAAAAGAAATACTTTCTTAAGAGATTAAATAATTAATTAAAATATTTATCTTCTCAAGAATAATATCGAATATAAAAATATGCTATTTCATATGATTTAATTCTAGTCTAATGAATTCTAAAAGAAAAATAGAAATCGATATTAATCTTATAAAAATATGCTAAATATTTCGCGAGCTCCTAAAAAAATTCAGAATTTCAATTTTATTCGCCGATTATAATTTAATTATCAATCTTTTCAATAGATAAATATCTAGAATAGAAAAAAATATATTTTAGATAAATAGATCGATAAATAAATAAGAAATTAAATAGATAATTAAATAGATAAATATGATAAATCTAAATGAATTAGATATATATAATAATTGAATTTAAGATATTTATTGTCTCATAAAAATAATCAATTTATGAAAAAAGGATATTAATGGTAAAAATATTTTTTTATTTATAGGATTAATTAGAGATTTATTTTAATAAGATCTATCTATATATACTCAGTTTATAAAAGATATAGAAGAAGAAATATAAAATTTGTATCATGGTTGGGTCGGGCGCCCCCTAAGATAAGGGGAAGGGAGGTTGTGATTTGTTTTCCTTCGTATTTCGGAGTTAATTCTGTTTGTGGTGGTTGCCTCTTCTTCCCCCAATGGTTTGCCCCCCCCCCTTTTTGTTGCTCAGCTGAACTCGAAGCTCTGGCGTCTACTTCGAGCTCGAAGCCAGGAAGCAGCCTCCGTGCCGAAAGCTGGCAGCTCATCAATGCCCCAGGACTGAAACCAATGGCTTAGCTGGCCTTGCCCCGACCCGCACTGTCTCGCAGGCTGCAGCCTACGGCAGGCGCAGAAAGCGGGTGCTTTGCCTTTTGTCTTTGATTGCGGGCCTCGGCCAGCACCACGCCAAACCTCTCGTGCCTCCCGGCATGGAGACGAGTTCGCTTCAGAAAACTGGTAACAGCATCTAGACTGAATCATGGACCACAACAGCGGCTTGCAAGACCGTGTCTCAACACCTGAGCAAGCTCATCGCTTCGCCGCTCGTCAGAGCATCGTACCACTTGATGTCTGTTGCTGCCAACACCTGCATGCCACAGTGCTTCAGTGGCTTGTATTGTTTGAGCCAGGTCATGACATTGGGTCACCGCATATTTTGAGGCTGATCCTGGCCCGCGCAGATCATGGCTCTTGTGGCCAATTCCAGGACCTGGAGTTATCTGCGCCAGACACTTCTCAAAGGGTGTCGCACTTGAGATCTTGTGTCTCGTGCAGGCCTTCGAACTCCAGGATGCTGCCGGGAACAAAGGTCCGGTTGCGAATCAGAGAAACGCAACCAATGTTGTCGGGATTGCGGGGCTTAGCCGTTCTCTCGGTGCTGAAGTGGCGCTCTCAAAGATGCCAATTTACCTCACCAGCTCGCACATTGCACTCAAGGATGCAGGCAACACTCAAGTCTTAGCCCCACTGCGCTGCGACCCAAGCTTCTGTCAATCCGATCCCTTTCGCGCAGCCGCTCCGAGAGCAGCCAGCCTGCAAAGGATGCGACTGGGCCTGAAACCCTGACACTAAAGTACCCACGAAAATGTGAATACATACTACGAACAAGAAGGACATAAGCTTGAAAACACTGTATGTATGTATGTATGTATGTATGTATGTATGTATGTATGTATGCATGTATGTCTAATATACTATTGTATACATGTCCTGTATTTGCCTGCTTACTTTGTAAACTGAGACACGTGCCCCATCTGCTGCTATGTTTATTAGTCTTTGGCATGAGCATCGCCTGCATGTTGTAGTTGAAACGCAGATTCATGCAGCGAGCTTTTAAGTACATACTTACATAGCACACAAAACGCAACCGAATGTTGCGCAACTGCGCAACTCTGCCATCATGCCAACTGTAGTCGCAAATTCATTTATGTCCACTTCCTTGCAACAGGCAGGGTTGGACGCACTGCGGCTACAGAGCATCAATTTTTTGCACCCAGAGGTTCGGATCGCGCCTAGCAGGAGTTCCAGCTCCTGATGCGGCCCACAGCACTACTGTCGGACACGGCGGGCCATGTACGGCCCCTGAAGGGTTAGGGATCTCATGTTCGGATCGAACCAGGCAAGAAAAAAGTGCGATGCGCTTTCCGCACCAGCCGCCGACAAGCTAGCAGTCAGTAACGCAAAGCCCGGCCAGAAGCAATTTTCCATTACGATAAAGGGTAGCCAGCGGTTCAACGACTCAACGACTTACGCTGATGATGCCAATGCCGGAGATGAAGTCCTTGGCAACCTCGAGCGCGCGTCGGCCAGGTACATGCGCCTGCAGCCAACCCGACAAAGCAAGCCCGCTGCCCTCCAAGGCAGTTCCTTCCCCCCAGGAGGCCTGCGAGACGTCAGAAGGCCTGGCACGGGGACCCAAGGTCAAAGTGTGTTTTGAGTCGCTGTTGCCAAGAGGAACTCTGTCAACTCAACTACTCGACTGGCATGCGGCCCAGCAAGCTAAGCATGCACTTCGACGACTTCAAGCATCAGCAGCATGCCATGCTGACAATGAACCATGACAGCACAATGCATCTCCCGAGGTGTTGTTCGACGTTTCGTGCAGTGTAGGCCTTCACATGCAACCTTGATGTGGCGAAAACACGAGATACTTGTAATCCGGCATGTTTAAAGCAGTGCACAAACCCGGCATTGCTGGAAACTGCAGTGTTACGTAGTGTGGCGATATTGAAATTTTACAAATTGAATCGAATGTGGACAGAAAGCAACGGCTTTTGCAAGTTTCGGCTTGAGACAGGCAGTGCTGCTGCTGTCCCGTTAGCCTTGCTCGTTTGGCTTGCGCCGTCGCAGTCTTGCTAATGTCCGTTTTCGCTCGTCATTGAATTCCTTCCTGCCTGTCTTTCCTCATGCTGCCTGCCCTCCTGCCCTCCTGGCCTTCCCCCTTCCTCCTTTCTCAGGTGTCCTGTCTTTCTTGTTTGCTTGATAGCGTATTCCTTCCGACTTCGTCGCAGTCTTTGTGCTGCGATTAAGCTGTACTCGCCTCCGGCCGTGAATTGCTGCTGATTCAGATCTCATCGCTAATGAAATTAGAGCTCGGTTTCATCTCGAGTGCTTTAGATATCTATCCTGGTGTAAAATCTTTGTTGGCCTTGAAGCAAAGCATGGGAATCCTGCACTTGCCGGTACACGCCTCGGAACAGCATTTACTTGGGCCACGATTTCGTCGCTGAAGTCCAGGCACCTCTTCAACAAGCACAGATCTCTGCTAGCGCCATGTGGCAAAGACATCTCTCTGCCTGGCCACAGGATCCTGGGCTTCTCCCGCATCCCTTAGCGAAGCAATTCAGGTCTGATCAAGACGTGCCCAAGCAATGTCAGTGAGACCGTGATTGTCCGCACAATCATGGCTGCCCGGAAAGGCCGATGAGGACAACTTGCAGTCGATGCAGCTTCACTCATCTATGTCACGCCAACTCTGTTTCGATGACTTGTGCGATCCTTTACCAGTCGAAACGACACATTCGCTCTCACACTGGCTGTACTATCGCGAATCCTCCGTCTTGGTCAAAGTTTCGTCTGGCACGCAGGACGACGTCGAAGCCTGCGTGTTCGACCGTGCCTCCCCCCTGTGCCCGGTCTCTGAGCCGGTGTCCCCTTAGTACATCAGTGAGGGATCGAGGGAAAAGCTTTTGCTCCTGCAAACTGGGCTGTCTTGCGTTCCAATTCCAACCTAAGCCGCCCGGCTTGGGGGGCGGGCCCAGGTTCGTGCGGCACACCCCTCCCTCAATATCCCGGCGCGGTTTAAGAGGCGTCTAGTGTGGAACTCCTGGAGCCCCCAGGGGCAAAAGCAAGATGGACCGTTTCCGCGGGCCGGGGAGCACCGCAGGTCGACACTCACTCACTCACTCCTGGCCATCTGATATGTGTCGCCGCTTCTGCTTTAAAGCTAAACTTTCGCGAGTGGACGTGTGGAGCACTTAGCATAGCCAATGAAATCTTGCAGCACCTTCACGTCATTCATCATAGTCCTTGTGATCACCTTCGATACATTGCACTGCAGCTTACGTTCCGATTTGTTGCAAAATGACCTGGGCTGAAAACGGACGTTATCGGGCTGATTAGTGAAAGGTCGGCGTCTGTGTAGCGTCCGGTGGGCAGACAACATTCCCCAGGAGCAAACTCACAGGCAGCCAGAATTTGGTTGATAGAAAGTGAAAGGCGAGTTCCAGGCTGGCTATGGGCTTCGGGTTACGAGACGGCTTGCTTCAGCTCACTAACGCCTCCTTCTATTTTTTGCCGAACAGACGAAGCCAAAGCCTCCCACTGCCAGGGGCAACTGATGTGTGCGGCAGAAGCGCCAGAGCATGCCGAGAACGAACGTTATGGAAGCGGAACGATAGTTCACAGAGAAGGCCAGCCAATTGTGAACCCTTGCTGTGGATTGCACAACCTCAGCCACCTTTCTGCTTCTCACTCCGTACTCCGGCAGCACATAATAGCATCAAGCAAACGCTCAGCATGCCAAACATTGCGACGTGAACCCAAGCGATTTCGACAAGGGCTGCATGCACGATGCTGTCGGAAGCTCGCTGTGAAGCCATCGTCTCGCGAAGCTTGAGAACCTGGCTCCCACCGAACAGCGATCCAAGCAGCAACACCAGAGCCGCAATGTTTTGCCAACATCGGTCACGAACCAAGCTGACATAGATTGTTGACATTAATGCCAGGAGCATGGGAAGCTGCAAGATCAGAAGCCGATCTGGAAACTTTGGATGCTCATCTCGTCCCATGTAGAACGGCCTGCTACTCGAGAATTTGCCGCGTAAGCTCTCCACGTCGAAGCAGAGGTCAATCAACACATATCCTTGGAAAACTCCGATGGCGGCCGCTCGAAATATTTCTGCAATGCCGACGCGGACGTGAGCTGTCATGCCGGACTCTCTCAGACGTGACTTGATAATCTTATGATCTGCACTGCATCTCATCAGCACACCTGCTCTGCTCATGGTTGTCAGCTCGAGGGAAATCCTACATGACAAGTCAAGTATTGTCTCATGCCTGCTGACTTCTGCTTGAGCCAGGAATCCCAGCAATCAATGCCTCACATCGAAAACCATGTCCACTTCAGACATCCCACTCAAAGGGAGAAACAAAACAGGGGCGTCACACACATCGACCGAAACTGTGCCCACGGCGCAGTGCCATGCTCCTCAACCTCAGAAGCCCGAGACCGTCGCTTTCTCACCAATCCGACTTCCAGCAACTACCAGAATCTACAATCGCATGGATCGATCTCAGAAGCAATTACACCGCAAGCTACTTCAGAGCTGCTCGGGCAACCTGGACTTCTACTATGGAAAGCCCAAGTCCAAGCCCAAATGTAAGCAGAGAGTGGCCGAGTAACGAAGCGGCAGCTCGATGTAGCAATGCCAGAGGTGAGGACCTGGTGCTGGACCGTCTCCGGCGCAGCATGCGCAGCTTCTGCCTCCAGACGTTCTGCTCGAATTACATGGTGACGCCTGCCTTGTACCAAGACCCCGTCCTCAAATATCGGTGAGGGCCAAGAGTTATCCTTGTTGGCCTCGCCGGCGCCTCACAGACAACAGCAGCCGTCCGTTTACTCCGGCCTGAGGGCATCTACAGTAAGACCCATGAGCAGCGAGTCGCGATTGCGATGAAACACGACTCCGACATTCTGCATTTTCCACGAAATTTCATGTAATTGCAGGCGAGCTGCTCGGGATAGGGAGCCTGCAAACAGCGAGAGGACGCAGCATGCTGCGTTACGCATTCTCTTTGCTTCTTGGTGCAACTTCGTCAAGACGGCTAGCAACATGAGAACATGTGAGAACAGTCCACATTCACCGCTAGTCAGCTAGTCACTCGTCAAGGTCAGTTCCGTTGCTTTCCCTTGCGCCTGCCCCATGTCAGCTGGTCGACCTGCACAGCAAAGGTCGACATGAGTACTGCAGCAAATTCAGCACAGTCATCCCGGCACACCACCTCTCCGGTGTGAGGTGAAGACCAGGGTGGCTCCCATTGAATGCCCTGGCAGCGCAACACGGCACGGTACAACTTGAGTTCGCAGAGGCACATCAGTCCAGCACGACATGCTGATCCGCCTGTGTCAAGGCTCTTGTAGGCGACTGCCAAGCAATGCTCATGGCAAGAATGCTGGCGTCGCAGACCGTGGCAATGGCATTTGCAGCTTTTGTTGTGCAAAGAGACTGCAAAGAGCCCAACCTCCTGGTACTGCATGCCGCATGCCCGTGCTCGGGTGCTTCAGATGTTCATGTTGCATGAGTTACACGACATTGGTCCGAGATCTAGCAGAGCATCCGTCAAGCTTGAAGAGAATCGTTTTTTCTGTGAACGCACAAGCGAATGCCAGATGCAACAAGTGTTGAGCTCGGCCCGGGGGTGTGCCTTTGGCTGGATCCAGAGCCTGGCTGCATCAGACCGACAATGGCATCGTTCTGTTCCGACTGCGAAGGCTGCAAGCAAGAAGTTAAACGCGGCAGGAGTGCAAGACACCATGTGCCGGTCGTTGGACGGAAAGCTCAATGCTTTGCCAATCCTATGGCAATGGAGTCGAGGCAACATGACGATGAACTTCGGATCTCGTGACCGGCCCTGGTGGCCATGGATCCTTCGGGCCTCGAGTCTATCCCAACGGCAGGACAGCTGAAGCACCTCCAGCTCCAAGCATGGTGGACGCATTGGAGACATCTACAGTATCAAAGCTCCATGCACTTGTGGGCTTTCTGACGAAAAATGGTCTTACCAGCAAGAGCTTGTTCTTGATGGTCTCCGACCATTTACCACAGAAACCTGTGTTTCGATTCGGTTCTTTCCAAGCACCTTCGGGGCCTTCAGCGAGCAGCTTGGCTGTAAGTGTGTATGTGCTATCGGCTCCGAGTGTTGCACTGTGAAGCCTGTGCTTTGCACATGCTGGCATGCAGTGCTACCACTTGCTAAAGCTTGGCACTGATTTGATCGATGTCCAAGTTCAAAAGCGTTCTAGCGAGGTATTTTCGTCCTCTCTGAACAAAGCTTACTACCGGATACCACAGGAAGGTGCGTCCCCCTCAGGTTCGCAGCTTCCATCAGCAATACGGGGCAGCACGCAGCAGAGGAGGTCGCACTTCCACGGGTGGGTGGACTTCAGAGTGTGGCATGCTGGTCCCTGGCCTCCGCGCTGCGCGACACGATCCGAAGCATGTTTGCGCTCACCAGCGGAAAGACATCGGCGCTAAAGCCAGACTTTGGCTGACCTCACAAGCACGAAGAAAACTCAATGACTTAGCGCATCCTCGAATATCCCCCATTCCTGGCCTGCATGCAGCGCGTTTAGAGCTCGTAGATCTATACCTGGGCTTGTCACGCATGCCCAAGCATCAACAGAAGTCACTAACGACACAGCAACACTTCCCCGCGACATCCAACTGCTGACTGGCGGCCCTGCCAGGGATCAAGATCGTTCGGCACAGGACGCAGTCGTCTTGGCCACAGTGCTCTACAAAGCACATCGAGACGCTTCTCAGTGCTGCAGAATCACGCTAGCCACTAGCGGGACTACCATTGCTGACATGGTTCAAGCTTTGATTTCGGGTGGAACTGCAACTCAGTCTAACTCAGTCTTCCACCTCGCCAGCCACTCGGACTCGAAGGCGGCAGCATGCAGTGTCCACGAGCATGGCGGTGCATGGACCTTTAGCTGCCCCACTTACATCTTGTTGACACTTGTTGCCTCGTGAGAAGCCGGCCTTCAAACCGGCGGTCTCCAGTGCATGGAGGCTCTGGGCGAAGATCGCATAGTGGCTGGCACAGGGAAACTGCGGCTTGCCACGAAGTGCCAGGACATCAGGTAGGGACTCACACCTTGGCATTCAAGAACTGAATGCCCTGTAAATTCTCTTGACACAAGCACGAGCCGGCAGGACTGGAACCTCCAGTCCTGGCGTGAGCTTGCCAGAGAGGCTTCTAACACTCAAGTCCTTGAAAAACACTCGGGCCAAGGTTTGGATATTGGCTCGGTAACGACAAGGGTCACAGCAATCTTGTGCAGGCGGGCGTGCCTGTACGAGAAGTTTCTTCCCCGAGCGATCGAGAACATGCAGCTCAGGAAAGCAGCGCGGGAACGATTCGTGGAGGGCATAGTCGATTAGAGGACGACTGCGAGCGTTCCATGTTACAGAGTCTGTGTGCATGCTGGCCTCTGCAGCAGCTTCGTACCAGAAGTCGGAAAATGCAGCCCAGTTAACGTCAAACGCCTGAAGGTTGGGAGGCGGAAGACTAGAGCTGTTTGGCACAACGTAAGGCCTCCAAGCTCTCTGCCAGAGCTGCCCATTGAAAGTCCTGGCGGGTGCTAGGCCGCTGTTAGTTTCACGCAACCTCGAGCACCTTCTGGTTCACCGATCGGGAACAAACGCAAGATCTGAAGCTCAACACTCCAAGACATTCTTGCCTCCAGGTCTTCTAGGCTGTCTGCCTGGTCATCTTACGGTTGAGTTTACCAGGATCCACGATACAGATATCTTGGGCTGTGGGAAGCACATGTGACGACAACCTTGTTAGGGTTTGCTGCTCAACTGGCACCGGCAGCTTCACGAATGCATGCGATCGACAAAGCCCGCTGTTTTGCAGCTCGCAACACCCAGATTCTCGGATCATCAACTTGTCTCGAGACCTCATATTTGACACGCTTCGCTGCACTGACTTTAACATGAAGTCAGCAAAACTGCACCTGGACGGGCCAAGCCATGATGAGGCGAACCACGGCGCTTGCCCAGGAGTTTTTCTTACAACGACCATGTTGCCGGTCAACCCGTATTCACTCGACCTTCATGTTGCGCTTCTGGCGGCTGCCGTAGCATGATGCGGCTCGCTGATACTGCAACGTCTAGCGCCTGCGGTGCAGCTTTGCACAGCCAGGCCAGGCACAATGTGCTCACAGCTACACGGTGGCCGTGCCTGACACCGCACTAGGATTGGTTCTGACATGCTGTCCGGCCCGTTGCTTTTCGCTCCTCATCTTTACACTTTATCCATTTCACTCTGTCCCCCTTTGCCTGCAGTTACGGCTAACCCTATGCGATCTCATCATGGTCTTCATACTGCTAGGCTCAGAATCCTGCACCTAAACCCTGTAGTGGGAGTAACAATGGTGCAGTAGTTGGCTCAACGTGTTACACGAAACCAAGCTCTTTTCCTATGCGCGAATAGAAAGCATACTGCCAATGACAGAACCAGTGCCAACGAATCGAAAGACATAAGCTTGCATGCACTACAGCAGGCTGACCAAGCAGTCTCACTTGACTCTGTCCAGGCACTCCCACATCATGATGCTGTTTCCTGAGCCGGCAAGTTCACTTGCAAAATGTGAATGAATCACCGGCAAGACTGGATCGTCTGATGCACGTCACTTGCACAGATGAACCAACATGCCAATATTTCTTGTGCTTCGAAGATCTGTCCGGCAGCACAAGCTGGTGATATCTACAGATAAATTTCAGGAAATGCTGCACCGCAAAAAACTACCAGATGCGCAAAGATTCCACGAATCACCACCATGCCAATCTCGTTCTTCTCCGTGGGCGAGACGATTTCGACTGTGTTGTCCAACACAATGTTCATGAACTGGTCATATCCTGCATCGTCACGAAACAAAGCATGATTCTTTCCATGCAGAAGCTCCGGTCGCCATCAAGGCCTCTGAGCACGCCCACCACGTGTCTGTTTGCCGTAAGCTTGAGATCCTCAGCATGGCAATTGCAGTCTATCCGTCGTGTCTGGTAGTTGATGGTAGTTGTAGGTACCGAAAGGTAAGGATCCCTGTCCTGTCAAAAATGACGAATCTCGCAACGGAGAAAATGCAAAAGTACGAGTCATCTCTGCTACTCCTCATGATTCCCCATGCGGATCATGAGCCTTTTTGGAATTAGGACAAAAACACGAGAGCCTAGTCCCATGAAGCTGTTTTCAGGAATCTGGAGAACAGAATTTCCTTCACGTTTGAAAGAGAAGAACGTGACTACAAGTAGTTGCATCAGTCAAGCTGAGCGTTGGGCCAACCTCTTCTCCATGAACTTTCGCAGATCTGCTCCCGATCCAGTCTCGCAGGGCGGTTTCTGCTACAAATCTGCAAGAACAAGACATTCTCTTTGGCTCATCCCGCCAGGCTTCAATTCGCGCAGGTAGGTTCGGCAGATTCAGTCTATACTTTGTCAAAAAGGGCCCTGGAACTCCAAAAAGGCGCGTGCCGATTTTATGGGCCACGTTGGCTGAGCTACAGATTCGTATCTCTCGGGACAGTAGCAGAAAGTGCTTGGTTCCGTTGCAGACTTACGGGTCCGCCATTCGTTTCCAACGGTTCAGACTCCTCGGAAGGTCGTGACATCTACCCCAGAGCCGTGCCTTGGACATCTTCCGGTAGCACTTCTGGAGATGCGCCTTCAGGTTGGTCAGTGCAATCGGCTTCCACACACGGCTCCTTTACGTCTTTTTCTGCTCGTTGCAAGTTGGGACCAGGGCCCCGAGGTCGGCCTGTGTCCGGTGACTGACTCTCTTCCCGAAGGCGTTGGCAAATCTCGAGCCGAAACGGCCTGTCACAGAACCGGCCCATCCTCCCCGTTTCCAGGCGCACGGCTCGCAGACTTTTCTGGAGGGAACTTGCTCTGGATACTTGGGCACCCCGAAACCATCTTTTTTGCTTTGCGCCATGGTGCTGCAATCAGCTGCTTCCTGGCCATGATATGAGGGCCCATCCCATCTCGCTTTGCAACATGCTATCTATCTGATGCCCATGAGTCTTGGTCTGTTGGCAAGTCCAGGGTGTGACATTTGGATGGGCCTCCAGTCAACGTAGACTGTAGATAAAGCATAGCCTTGCTGACCCAGCCTAGGGAACACTCTGGTGTTGATGCTGTCCGTGGCGAATGTGTGAACGCTTTCATGGTGGGAATACTGTGGGACGAGAGCTGCGCCGCGCTCTCACTTGACTCGGTCCAGGCACTCCCACATCATGATGCTGTTTCCTTAACAACGCGATTTTCAAGCTGTGACATCGAGACTTCGTCTCAGCGTTGTTGGGCTACTAAAGGACGTTCTTGAACTGAACGAACTAAATCTTAATTGCCTCCATGAGTCCACGAATCACCACCATTCCAATCTCGTTCTTCTCGGTTGGAGAAACAATCTCGACAGTGTTGTCCAGAACAATGTTCATAAACTGGTCATAACCTGCCAGCATGCCATGCTCAGGTAAACTAAGGTGTTGTAGCATTGGTCGCATCTGCTGATGCAGCACTGCATGGCATTCTTGGGATCACAAACAAGACCAAGCTGATGTAGATTCGAATCGGATTCGTGACGGCTTGGGGTTTAGGGTTTAAGGTCCACAAGACTTCAACGGCGTACCTCGCAAAACTCCCACCACATGCCTGTTGGCGGTCAGCTTCAGATCCTGGGCATCGAAGTTCTTTCATGAGTCGTTGGCGAGCATGGGCAATTCTGCACTGTGCATGGAAGCACCTATCTTTGCATCATCTAGACTGCATGCGGTCAGCAAGGGTCTCGTGCATCTGGACGTTCTAGCGTCTAGAACCTAGACGAGGACTGCAGTGCTGCAGACCCTTGCAAACTCAGCTTCTAAACATTCGGTAGATGTACAGTTCCTTTGGACACACTGTGCACTGTGCGCAGCCCGTGCCAGGCTGACGATTCACGCCCGCGTGCAAGACGCACGTTCCAAGGCGTATATGGTGCTGTAACAATCAAGATCTGAGTCAAGAGCTGCTGGCATTTGCGATTGGCACGGGCTGCCGACTGTCTTTTGTGAATCGAAAAACTGCTGATTGAAACAGTCGCAGGCTTAAACAGCCTATGTTGCCACCAAATGGATCTTGTCCCTGAGCATTGCACAGAGCCTGACAACGTCGTAAGACCCATTCACTCTTGTCGGAGTGTTCTGGAAGCCTTTGGATGAAACGTGCTGTAGCCGTCGATTCATGCTCCCCAAACAGTTTCAATCACGCTGTGGCCTAAAGGTGTGCCACAGAACTGGCAGAAGCGATGGTCCATCTGCGCTTCCGCACCACAATTTGGGCAGAAGCGCTTCTCCTGTTGTGCTTCCTTTTCTGCTCCCTTGGGACCTGGCATGCCGACGTAGAACCCCTGGTCTTGTTTCTGCGGCGCAGGGTCTTCCTTTTTGGTGAGCTGCCGTGCAGCCATATCGATTAGGCTACCCTGGTTCCGCCGTCCACCCCGCTTTCGCTCTGGCTTTGATCTGGGCATAGATGATTCGCGAAGGAAGACCGGCCTGGTTTCGGCGGGCCCGCGGTTCACTCTGGCGGTGGAGTAGTGGGAATAGTTGGCCTCGAAACCTTGAAGTGCAGCTGGTACCACTGACACGAGCTTTTCGGAGTTGAACTTTCCCATCTTCTGGCCCTCATAGGTAGTTCTTGCCATCCATGCGAAGTCTGGTGAAACGAAGTTGATGAAGGCATAGCCACGGTTTGCATGCGTCTCTGGGTCGATTGGAAGATACATAAAGTCATAGGCTCCTGCAAAGCCTGCCTGATTCAGCTCCTCTAAAAGCATCTGCTGGCTGTACTTGTTTGGCAGATTGCGCAACATTACAGTTGTCACACTCTGCCAGTCAGATGGGATTTGTCCACTCGGAGGCATTTTTGGTTGGCTGGCGGTGTCTGTCATCTTCATGTCCTTCGCGGGTCTGCCTTTGCCGCCCATTGCCATGCCAGCCCTGTCCGGCGACCTTGGCACACAGGGACAGAGAGTTGGGGCTTTGGGAGAGCCACAAAAGCAGTTGCGGCTGGGGCGCACAGCCTGTTGTGAACCATGGTATCCACTGTCGAGGCTGCCCGATGCGTAAACCTGTGCCGGAGCTAAGATCTGGCACATCTGTGTGACATCCGGGTGGAGAGCTGCTCGTGCTGTGCAACCCTTCCTGCACGACATCGCGCAGCTGCACATCTTCACTGGCCTCCGGCATTTGCATCCCCATCTGTGCCAGCGGGGCCTCCTTTCCAACTCCCACCTTGGGCCGGTAATCTCTGCAGGTGCATTGTGCCTGTGAGGCTATAACTGTCACCTGGATCTCGCAGCCTGCCGACACCTATGCGCCTTAGTGTGCCGAGATGCAACCGTGTACTGGAGAGGCAGGCCCTGCGGCATGCCAACTCCACTGCACCCATCCATCATGCCCATGCTCGGTATGCCGGCGGGCATCACCATGTTGCCCACAAACGGAGCAGTTGTTGCCTTCAGAAAAGCCCGTTGGATAGTCGGGTAGTCATGCATAGTCAAAGCGGCAACCCTACGCACACTCCAAACCATGTCTTGATGGTGGGCGATGCGAGCTTGAGTAGTCATTGCAGATTTGCGGGTGGTGAGCAGAAAAAGCTCTTAGGGGTCTCCTGTCCAGTCTGCCCAGTGGCCATCATGTCCGGCATCGACCCAGGCGGAAGGAAGTACTGCCCACCCGGCCACATTTGACCTCAACCGTGCGGCCACAGAGAGTGACACGTTGGTCAGCTGCTGCTCCCGGATTCTAGCGTCGAACGTAGGTTAGAACATCTAAATCACTGTGCTCCGAGGTTTCGCAACCATCAAACCATTCCTGCAATGTTTGTCCTCACCGCTCGCATAAAACTCGACACAAAAGCCCCGCATTGAACCTTTGAGGGGTGGAGTCAATCCGTGAAGCCAGCCCTGGCATGCGCATCTCTGCGGGACCGCGCATCTTGGGGACCCAATCTTGTCCCGTTTCTGAGGGTAACGAAGATTCAGCCACGGATTTGGGATTTCATAACACTGCAACCCTGTAGCAAAAATGCAGAGCTGGCCCGTATGGAAATAGTTCCAGAATAAAAGTTGAAGTCTCTTCGCATTGTTCGTCCAAGCCATGTTGACTGCTGACCCTTATGTAAAGGTAAGGTACATATCCTGACCCCGCAAAAACAAAATCAGCATGCTGCAGCCACACAGTCTCCGCGCACTGGTGCTTTCTGACATGCATGATTACATGCCGGGCAGCAGCCGCCCGTAGTAGCATTCGGTGGGTTGGAGTTGTCTTCATCTCCCCCCGTAAGAACTCGCGGCTGCGATGGAAGAGTAGAAGGCAGGCCCTGACGCAAATCGACCAGACGTATGCAGCGGCAGGAAACATGGATGAAATTGGAAAAGATCGCCGGTGCCTTCCTACTAGTACTAGTAGGAATCAATCTCCACGAGAACGGGCCTGCTCGCCAGCTGGGTAGCCGATCTGCGCTTGTGCCAGGGCCTGCACCTGCTGAGCCTTTTGGATTTGCTGCTGGGCCTGTTGGATTTGCTGCGCTTGCTGCTGAACCTGCTGGATCTGCTGCGCCTGCTCTTGCAGGACAGTCATTTGCCGTGCAAGCGCTGATGCCGGCTCTGAGAGCTGTCTCCGAGCAAGATGAGAAAACTCCATCTCCATGTCATCGAGAGAGTCGAAGTCCAAGAACGTATTCTTCACCTGCAAATTTGCAGCCACAGCTGCAAGCGCGCTGGAGTCCACCATGATCACTTGCCTTTTGCACGCACACTATATGGGGCCGCTACCTGGATCTGCAGATGGCATACATGTGGATGGCTGTCATCATGCTGCATCACGAAAGCTGCAAGTAACTAGTGTCAATCCAAACAACAGCTGCAAACATGCGAGTTAGACAAGTTCACCCAGATGCTACTGCTTCACGGGCTGCAGCAAAGACATGGACAGTCGCTTGCCGAGCTCGTCGCCAAGCGTTTCTCCATAAACTTCCGCAGGTCAGCACCGGAGCCGGTCTGGTGAAGGCAAGACATCCGTCTCCAGATCTTAATTACTTACTCGTCCATGTATGGCTTTTGGCTTAAATTCCTTTGTGTCTCATCGTGAATGCTCTGCGGCACTGGGCGGTCGCCTTTGACATCTTCCGGAACCTGGTCTTCTTCGCCTGGCGCCAGCATAATGGCTACACAACCCGTCATCACTGAAGTGTATCAAACTCCACAGATTCTGTGCAAACATTGGAGAACTGCAATCCACGCGACCCTGCCTTGTCTTGTCGTCTACTGTGTGGCGCAGCTTGAGCAAAATGAGGCGGAGAAGCGGCAAGTCTTCACAACTACCCTCATCTGCTGCCGCTATCAGGGTGGCAACCAGTTAAGTCGCGACAGCCATGGATCCTGCCATGCTGACACAGTGCTTCTCAGCAGAAACAACGAAATCATGAGGCTATCTTCATGAAACTATGTTCACAGACTTCTAAGGCTGTGCGGTGCACGTGGTATTTCCCTGACAGTGTCCCGTGCCTCTGATTCATCCGTTTGCCGCTTTTGGACTGTCCGAACATCGGTCCGCCGATGCTTTCTCTTTGTCTCTTCACCCTGCGCAATCGAACATCCAGTTCCGACATGTGTAGATGTACTTTCAGCTCTGCAGGCAACTTTTGCCGCTATCACACCATACTCTTCACATTCGACCTCTACCTCGATGGGCACGCAAAGCTTTAAGGGCGTCAGCAAACACTCGCTTAGCCGCCGCCCGCCTCCGGCACAATGTCCCCTACAAGAAGCGCCTGGCATCGCGAGCGGGATCGTTTAATCAATTCCAGATTTCAGAAGCTTGAGAAGCTTTGCAAGTCCTAAGAATTCCCTGGGCACATCGGTAGTATCAGAGCGCAGTTTCACAGAACTGTTCACTCACCTCAAAATCGTGGCAAGGGCACTGCTTTAAGCACTTCTTGCAGGCCATTGCCTCACAAAGCATTGACAGCGTACAATCACATGCATCGAGAGTAGTGTTGATTAAGAGTGTCGCCACCGTAAAGTCAGGCGAGGTTCTAGAGGCGAACTTCTGGATGATGCTGGAGTTCAACATGCCTGGTCCCACCTGGGCGAGCATGATGTGAATTTCAATACCTGCGGCGCGCAGTCCAGACATGTCTGTGCTGGTTGTCGTGTACTCTCTGGGTGTGCGGGGGCCTTCTCAAGCTTGAACACGAAGAAATGGATCAAAGCTGTCAGCACTGAGAACCAACTGTGGCAAGTAGAACCAAATGTCAGCTCTTTTTCAAGCGCCGGTGGGTTAAATCAGCTGAGTTCTTACAATCAAGGTCCTTGCAGCACCTCGGAGGCTGAATAGAGCTCTGCAGACAGCACAAAAGAAGTGTCCCGAATCGTGGAGTTCAGAGCACATGTATGCCGAGCTCCAACCAGCCTCGCTTACATTTACTTGCAAGTAAGCTCTGTAGAACTTCTTGCATTTGAGCAATGCACTCAAAAATGCACAAGCTTTTGGTACCGTCACGAGGCACCACTAGCTGTATAGATACATGACTTTCTGGAAGGAGGCAAACCTTCCTCTCAGTGGCCTGGCATGCAAACCTTCGAGGCCACAGGTAGAACGAGCTTAAAGTCATCTCATCGGACGGGCATGTGCGGCACGTTCCGTCTGTACATCCTATGGCCAAGGTGGGGTGAATTCCAGGCATCATTGTTGAATCACCATGCAAAGCGAATTCTATCCAGCCTTGGATCGTCTCTTCATGCGTGCTTTGTTGCGACGAGCCTAATTATTCTCCGTCTCGCTCATACCCATTTGTTACACAGACAGCATGACTGCACTAGCTGTGAGGCTTCAGCAACCACAACTTTAATAGTTGTGGGCGCGTGGCGTCTTCGTGGTCTCTTTCGTCTTTCAAGCTGTTCGGGGTCGTTCACCGTTGGTGACCGGTGGATGGGGAGTAATACCGTCCACGTTCAACTCGTTCCCTTGAAAATGCCTTTCCGAGTATGTCCGGCCGCACCCCCACGTCCATGCCCGAGGGCCTCCCAGTGGGCAAGCATCCCTGATAACGTCAAAGTTCGAGCGTGTCACCCCATTGGGAAACCCCTGTGCTGTAATAACTTCCATACTCGTGTGGAAAAGCTTCCATCCCCGCACCCTATAAAACTCATGCGTGAGTGCGAGAAATAAGCACTTCCGGACGTTTTTGCCCACCCCCTGCAAGTTCTGACGGAGCTTTGAGACACTTCGACTCTTCCTTTCCAGTGCCTCGCTCTTGGGATGGATTGGTCTTGAACCGCAGAGTTTCCAAGGTGTGGTAAGTTCCAACACAGTTGCCGTTTACATCTTCGAACCTGTTGGGGTATCGCACACTTGCAACAGTTTCTGTGATGTATGTATACTGTTAACAACGAGGCACGAATACCGTTTTTCGGCACTTCCAGGCCCCTAAATAAAGCACCAAATGCTTTCTGCTCGTACCCAAATACTGCATGACGAGTCCGGAAAGTTCCCCACTGCATGGGAAGCCAAGCTGCGGCCTCTGTCAGCGCGCGGGGACAGTTGCTGGAGTGCTTCGAGGCACATTCACCGCAAGCAGCTCCCGGGCACGAGGGCGACAGTCCTGAGCATGACGATGCGAAGCTACAAGTTTTGTACATTTTTGTCGGTGTTCATTTAAGTGGATGGTCATTCCTATTTCGTTCTGGTTGAGGGCAACGAGCGACCAGCAGAACGAGCTTGAAAGCTTCCGCCGGAAGCTTCTGAGGAAATTCACTAGGGCCCGAGACTACTACATTCAAGCCATAAGACAGACTCTATTGGCCTGACATTCATGATTATCTGCAGAAAAATATGCGAGCAAGATGCCTGGAACTTTGCTGGAGTCTGCAGGAGCCTGAACAGCAAGAAAATATTGTGCCGATCTTTGCACGGGTATTCCTTTTGCAAGACTTTCCTCTCTGAGCTCTTTCCTGCTCAGAAAGAGGCAATCGTTCACCGTGGTTTTGCCAGGATCCCGCATGCAACATTCTGTCATGAATCACGTGGCGCTTGGAGGAGTGATTGAACTCAGCATTTCCCATCTGTGCCATCGGGATGCGGCAGCAGGCCCTCAACTGTCAGCATTTGTTGCTGACCAGCGACTTCCTGCAACATGGCTGAGCTAATTCTAAGACTCTGCACAGCTTTCCTGTCCGTTCCAGCTTTGCGGCGTGGTTCGCATGTTGCAGAAGGTGCTTCCATGTAGCTGAGTCACTTGACCATGACCTGCCTCGGGCACCCGCAGCTTCACGGGCAGCCCTGCACGTTTTGCCCGGGCAAGGATCTCATGCCTCGACCCGGCGTTTGGACGCCTGTGCCGGGCTTCCAAAAATCTTCAGGAGTCAGCGGTGGTCTCTCATTCTCTGGGCCTAAGGCTTGCGATCACAAAGGAACTCGGCTCCGCACCTTCCGGTGCGAGTCGCATCGGAGCCTTCGCTTGGAGCGGGCAGCCCTGCAGGGCCGAAGAATCCAGCTGAAACCCCCATAAACCCTCCTTGCACAAGAATCAGAAAAACACCAGACTGTACAGAATCTTTCTTTCCCACTTTCCACGAGAAGGTCTGTAACGCTTCCCGCTTCACTCATGAGACGCCCCCCCTCATTCTTTTCATTCTTGGTCCGTGCGGCTGCCTGGAGGTGCTCGCAGAAGTCCAGTGACTCCAGTGGTGGGTGCAGCGGTGGAAAGGAGCGGTTGTCCTGTCTCTACACTCCCCACATCTGACCGCGCAGGAGCGCGGCAAGGCTCCTTCACATCCTTCTCCAGCAAGTTGTCCCTGCGCTCCTGGCTCATGGGCGGATCAAGGCTTCAGCACTCTTTTTTTTTCAATTGGTTCAACGGCGTTACACCTTTCAGTCTGGGACCTTCTCCTGGCTGCCAGGATGGCGGCGCCGAGGGCGAGGCGCACGCCTTCTTCGGTTCCATTGAGCAAAGCAGCAAGCTCGTGGCTCTTTCTGCAGAGTGCCTCTGATGGCAGGAGCGGCCACTGGGCTGGCGGGGGCGGAGGACGCCTGTCAGTTTGAGGTTCGCTCAACCAGATCTCGCTGTCTCCATGCAAACTGAGGCCAGTTTGAGGCGCTTGCGCAAGCATTTGTATCATTCTTGCAAGACTCCTACCAGTCGAGTGCCAGTGTCCTGTCTGACCTCTAGGTCGCATCCATGTTCAGCTGGCTTGTGCACCCCTCGCATCAGTGAACACAATCGCTAGCCTGGCCTCCTGCAAGCTGTAGGTCGCAGGGCGACCTGGGCTTGGTTTGAAAAGCGCATAAACCTGTGTGGATGGTCTAAACATTGGCAGAGCAAATTTGGTGCCTCCACCTCAGAGCCGCTGGAGCAATTTGTCTCTACATCCGCCTCCAGTCAGATGGAGACTGCAAGCCAAGCCGTACTTTGCTCTCCGACCGGCCTCGTGTAGCTTGGGTTTTCGTGCTTGTTTGAAGTTGCCTACCGGCGTTGACCTCAGTGCTTTTCTTGGCATTCAGCGGGCACGACACTGCTGTTCGCGGCCGGCCAGAGCCTTGTACAAGATATGAAGACTGGGCACCCGGCGCGAGCAGGCTCGGCAGGAGTGTCTGCTTCATCATCTCTGCTGTGCAACACTTGTCGGTAAGGATGCTTTGGCTTGAGACTTGCTTTGCTGCGGCACACAGTGTCAGAATGCCGCTAGAGATTCAGCATGAATTTTCACGCATTTCTGCTCTCTTCTCTTTGAAAATCTTGCTTGCTTACTGCAAGCATCTTTCTTTCTGCGCTCCTGCAAACCACCGTACACTCCCCCCCGAGACTGTCGAGAGAGGGTATTTGGGGGGGCTTCTTGCTCGGATCTGTACTGCTGCCAGCCACTGTCCTGCCCAAAGCTAGCAACCGAACTGCTGCAGGTAGTCCCTTGCAGAGCAACGGAACTGCAACAAACCAAACAGAACTGCCACATATCAAGGTCTGCACAGACACCACCGGGTCGTAACCGTGTCTGGCCAACCTGCAGCGGTTGGCCAACCCGCTACATGGCTAACGTGAGCTTGAACCGACAGAGATTGAAGGGCCTGGGCAAAGGTCCACCCCGAAAGACACCCTCATGGTGGCAGGGCAGGCACTTAAGCAGAGACACTCCGACTCTGCGCATGTCAATCTAATACCCTTGTAATATGCATCGTGACAGACTAGAACATGGTGAGACTCAAGCGAACTCAGCTCGCGCATGCTCGCGCCGCACGCCTGATTGCCAGAATGGGGCCATCTCCCAAGACCAAGGCGCCACAGCCCTGACCAGGCTCACACCGCTGAGAATACTGGCTGCCAAGAGGATAGAAACGCTATGACTATGTGCACTGGCTTCCGTGCGAAGTGTAGGAATGCCGCGCTCCAGCCGAGAGATTTCTAAGAACTTGCCTTCTCGGCTTTGGGAAGATCCACTGTCCAGGCTCCTTCGACACCGAGGGCACCGAGGCGGCGCCGGGAAGTGGCCGCGTGCAGGCCGCAACTGGGCAACAACCGCCACTGGTGCGCACTTCGACCAAAGCCTGGATCCGTGGGGCATCGGGCCTGCAAGTTGGCGGCCGGCCAGGCTGCAGCTTCTGGCGCGATCGGCGAGGAAGCGAAATCTCAGATGGTTTGCTGGGGCTTGTCACGGCCCGTCTCTACGCTGACGGGAACATGGGAAGACTGCTTCGATCAAGTTTATGTCGTGGCGAAAAACATCGAGGCGTGCACCATTGTTTGTGCGGTGCTGACTTCTGTCATGTGTGGCTAGCGCTGGTCCAAGGGATTAGTTCGCCCAGTTCCGTTCCCACTCTTCATCCATCTTTGTCATATGGGCTGCTGCCAAGCGACCCAAACAGCATCGTCATCATGGTGTGCCTCCGGGAATGATGGCACATGCTGACTCTCTACAGGTTCATGCGCTGCTAGAAGGACCTGGTCAACATGCATCTTTCTTCAAAACCAGCGACCGACCGAACCACTGATTTGGTTTCCAACAGCCCAAACAAATTGCAAGAAGTTGTGAAAGTGTGCGAAGTAAACACTTGAGCAGGCGAAGCCTCGGCGGTGCACTGATTAAGTTTCAAATGCGCTTCTGCGCTTCTTTCAGGAAAGAAGGCACGACATCAAAATGGGTCGTCACAAGCTTGTCTGCAATTTCGGAGCTGGCATGTCTTGTGACATGATGCGCAAATCTGTATGCTTTTAGAAACAGTCTTTGGTGGTGTGTTCTCGCACGTGTTCAACCTGTTTCCCATGTCCAGCCTCAAATGCATTGTACAGTTCGGCAACTAACTTAACCGGCAACTCTGATACCAAAGAGGCTGCCAAAAGACTCGGACCGATCGGCCAATACTCTTGGACATGCTTGGCTCTACTGCAGGCAATGCCCAGCGTGGCCTCCAGCTCCAAAGGCTCGGAGCCCTCGACGGCGACGGGCGTTCGGAAGCAGAGGGCAGCCTGGCCGACGAAAACACGCCTGGGACCGACTCAGCGAGGCGCTTTTTCGGCGCCGCCTGGCGCCAGTGTTCGCGCAAGGGCTGCCCCGGAGACGTCGAGATTCGGACTGACCCGAAAAGCTCGGCCTCAAACCAAAGCCTCAGTACCGGTGCAGAGTGCGGTGCTGAAGCGTGTCGTATCGCCACCCAACCCAACCTGAGTTGCACCTAAATCTGAAAGTCGGCTAGTTGCACCAAATCAGTGCCCAGAGCATTCCCTCGCAGACTAGGGTGGCAACACGTAGAAGCGATCCTACGAACGACTCTGCTGTGGATGTCGAGAAAAGCTCTATCAACCGTTGTGTTAACTCTCGGTCGTCTTGCTCTCAACTTAATTTGGCTCGTGCCCATCTCTTTCGAGCAAGGAGCTTGGTCTTGCGATCCTGTTTTTCTCTGAGCGCACGCCTGCTGCTCCGAAACAGTGGACCAACCCATTTTCAATAGTTGAGCTGAAGCCCATAGCGTGCAAAATGCCTCTCCCTTACCTGCTGCTCTCTGATGCCTCAGCAAGGCTTAAACATCCGGCCGGCATAGAGCTCTTCATCAGCTAATGGGTTTACTTAGGGACCCGCCGCCAGCTCAGTGGCTCTAGCTGCCAGAATATTGCGCGGGGTGTATGCTTCTTTCAACATCGCAACATTCAGAGCTGCTCCGAATCGTAAAAAACCACTGATAAAGTGATACAGCAGAGGACACCTGCAGTCAACCTGCGACTATCCTACGGAAATAAATCGAAGCTAGGCGTCGCAACGCCGTGTGCTTCGCCAGGCTTCCTCAGAAGCAAGGACATGTATTTTTACTCATGCTCCTACCTGTGGCAAAACGACGGAGCCCGAAAAGCATCTGTAGTTGTGCATCTTGATCTGCAGAGACGTCGGTTCGCTAGCATTACCTCCAGCTAGACCTGTGCTCAACAGCCGATTTCATGTGAGCGACAGCGGCACGCGCAGTGCCACACGCCGGCCACACGAAGGAAGCGCGGTGACTGCAGCAAAGTCGAAGTCAAAGACCTCGTTGCACAAACGACCATGCGGCGCTGAGGCTGCAAGCGAGAGAACTTCCAGTGGCAGAGTAGGATCTCCGTTCTTCCCAACCCGAGGCCCCAAGCACCCTGAAGGTAGACTCCAAGTTCATGTCATTCCAGCGCCGTTTGAGACTAAGCAGCCCTTCTTGAAGTCGCTATCAGCCAGTCTAGACTATCGCTCATGGATCACTGTAAAATTTCGATCGGGATCAGCTGCAGGTACGGTACCGGGGCTAACCTTTGGGAATGGGAGGCAGCACAAGTTGCGCTCTCATCCGAATACACCTGACAACACGATCGTTGCCTCGAACGGCTCCGAGACAAACTCTAGGAGACCTTGAGGGCAGGTATAGTAGACAACATGACATGTCGTCTGCTGGGCATTCTCGTGGAGGCAGGGACATGCACTTACGTACAGCGGTGCTTGTTGGATCGGCATTGACGCGTTTTGATGCCAATCCAGCATGCTCCCCGTGCTTGTGCAGTTGCAAACGAGAACTTCGTCTGCTCTGAGCATCCTCGCCAAGCAAGCAGCCTTCACGTTTTCGCCATTCACGCCACCTAGCTGCCACTAACCTCAACAGAAGTGCTCTGTGGCTTCAAACCACAGATGCTACCTAATCCTACCCTGCAAGTTTGTCCTGCTGCCCTACATCGTGATGCCACGTGGGACCACAGCAGTCGTCTGCTTGTTGCAGCGAATTGCAGCGAACGATTCTCAGTCATGCTCGACCTTCTGTACATCCGTGGGGAACCCGTCCCGCTGCTGCGCCACGATTCCTGTCAGAGTCGACGGGGCAGGTGCACCGTTCGTGGTGCAGTTGACAAGACTCGAACCAAGTCTCCTTGAGCTGACCGCTGGAACCCGCGAACTATGCACTCGAGAAAAGGCCGCATGCAGATAATTGCAAATGAGAAGCCTCAGCCCGAACCTTAAACCCAAACCAGTAACCCGAAGCTTACAGCGTTTAGAGTTCGGTTTGGAAATTTCCTGATTCTCACCCGAACCTGATGTCATGGATTTTCATGGCTTTTGCTCCTGGCCTGGCCAGAGGAAGTAGCCCCTGGGATGCATCGTGTGATCTGCGTGTCCCGGCTTCGGAGGCTTCAGGCCTGCCGAAATCACGGAAGCAAAACGGACACGTCTTGACTGCGGGTATTGAACTATAGTGGATGGCCTTCACGCAGAGACTCGTCATTCATGTGGGTGTCGATCTGCCAGTACAGTGGCACGCTTACCTTGATGCACAGGAAGAGACACACAGCAGCCCAATGATCTCAGGAATGCCGGTACAAGATAGGTGCCGCAACCTGAGACTCTGACTTCTAGGCATGCCTTGGCCCCGGCATCATTGATGACATATGCCGTAGTCTCCTGAGCAGCCGTGCAGATGAGTCGAGCTTCCAACTCTTGCGTCCCTTGTTAAGGCGCTCAAACGCTCCCAAGCAGGTCTTCGTTCCGGGTGCAGTGCGCTGTGCGCTGAAATTTCCGAGCACGACATATGGAACCCTTCTTCGGAATAGATACGTGCACGTTTATGGATCGTCTTGTGAGTCCAGGCTCACGAAAGCCTTTGTAGAGCCGCCGCACACCTTTGCCCACCTCGTAGAGGTGCTGCCTGCCAGGTTGGGGCACAATGATGCACACTGCATGCCTCTGTGCAGGTTGTTGAAGGCCTGCGCAGAAGATCCTGGCCACCGAGATAGACGATCTCCCAATCCTTCGAAATTTCTCTGCAGCCAGCGTCAGAGTCAACAGCTGTCAAGAGCACGCCTGCGGCACGTGCGACAGACGCTCAAGGAGCACTTCCTCCGAGAAGCCCTGCGCAAACTCGCAGTCATCCTGGCGGCAGTCTTCGCTTTGCACCGTGCTCACCGCGATACGAGCGACTGCACAAACCGTCCTCGATAACGAGGAAGGGTGCTTGCGGATCCACGCCATCTGCAAGAGAATGACTTCCCGTGAGCTTGAAATCCAGTCCCTTCTAAACCCAACCCTGTACCAGCAGGTGTGCGAACGGCTCCACGCAAGGGTCCGCCTTCTGCACATTTCTGGATGATGTCTCGCCAAATGAGCCTCGCAGCGATAAAGCTATCTTTATTTTCTGGACAGGTAGCAGGAAGCCTTCACACGACTGTTATTTCAGTCGTACTCCATTCATAAGGGCTCCACCTTAAGAAGGCACCGCAGCATTCCCTTTTCCTAGCTGCTTGCCAAGAGGCATGTGTGACAATGCACAGCCTATGCCGCCTGCAGTGAGATCCGTGCCAAAGAGCTTCCTCGGGTTCAGCTTTGCAAATGGACCCCAGTCACACGAAACACGTCAATGTCGGTTCCTCTGCCACCCGGATCGGCCACCCAGCAAATTCACAAGTTTTGCGCTCGGATCAGGAATCGGGCAGGCTTTCCGAAGAAACTCGCTGCCATTCTTCCAGGGATTGAACGTCCGCAAGTACGTGTCTCCGGCTTGCTCAATCTGTGCGGGCAAAACTTATGATCACTTCCTGCAGAATTTATTGGTCAAAGCTCGCTGTTCCGGTGACATTCCAGACTGTTGATATTCCGATTCTGCAACTGGAGACTTGTCCACAGATGTTATGGAAACTGTCAGATAAAGAATATCTAACTCATGATATCTTCCGGCATTTTGCAAACTTTATAAACTTTGCTGCTCAAGCCTTGCTTGAGGTGGTGTTCGATGCCGTAATCCATGTTTGAGGACATGTTGTGTGGGTTGCCTGTACTCAGCCAGGCCTTCCCAGTCTTCCCTGGCTCAATTCAAGGCAAACTGTGATGCCGGCTGTTGTCTTGGAAGCTATATCAGGCTATATGGTTGATCGTTGCTGTTGGTAAGGCTTGTTCATGACGAGGGGCTTGCTGACCCATGTTTAAAAGTGTCCTGCGGTGGTAGATGCGACCGATGCTCAGAAACAAGTGAAGCGGAGGACTGGCCTAGTGACGAAAGCTGCGAAACGCTGCGAATCTTTCGACAAAGCTCTGCTCGTCTGGCAGGTAATAGCGGGGCAACGCCTCCATTGCAATAACACCATTCCTGAGGCAGATGCTAGCAATGCGCTTACGGCTTACGGTGCAGTTGGAAAGGAGCTTCGGGCGTATAGTCCTTTGCAAGGCGACAGAAAGCTGTTGGGACAGTTGCATCGTAGGCTCATGGCTAGATCAGGGACGTCTAGGTCACGGCCATTGACGGCACTGAAGCCTCAGCATCAGCAGACATGAGGATGTATCGCATCCATCAAATAATCTCCTAGTTACTAGTTCTACAGAACTCAAGACTTACACATTTCAGATTGTGTCAAGAGACGCTCCACAGGCATCCTTAATTTCTGGAACTGCTTCTGCATGAACTCCCAGCGCTCGGGACGGTGGTCCAAATTCCTTAGACAGAGGAACTCGCACTGCTAACTATGGACAACCTAGTGAATCTAGTAGACGAATGGAGTAATGGTGTGTTTGCCCCCCTTGAAATCTCACAGAACTCTTAGCCGAGGCTCATGCAGTAAATGTGCGCCAGGCTCCGCCATCCAATGGCCTCGCTCGGCCGCACAGCCGTGGCAGTGGATAGCGCGGCAAGGCGACTCCTTACCGGTTGCAGAATTTGGCGGCATCAGGTTTGACGACTGCAGGTTTCAACTACCCATGTGTCATATGTCAGTTGCTCTCCTCGCTCTTCGTGGCCGCTGCGCCAAGCTTGTCAGCCGCCGCACCGTAAAGGCACGCTTCGGGTGGTGGCCTTCGACTGTGATCACACTCTCGCACATGGAGACACACGTCCGCTGCACAGAAGCTATTGGATCTTACCCCTAAAAACCCACTCAGGTTCGAATTGGTTAAGCCAAGCTGCGCGCGAAGAGCGCGGCACCTCGATTACCGTCGAAGGTACGTGCTTGGCAAAGTATTAATTTCAATCCAGGATGACCAAGGCAGAAGAGGTGGTGCCATCAACATAAAAATAGACGAAGGACTGAAGGATGTCACTTTGACAGTTGCAAACGCATCACACGGTCTGCGGGACCTAGCCTGGAAACCAGCACACCGAGGTGTGGCAATTCACATTCATTGCATCAAGTTCAAAGATGCAAAGAGAGGCCATTGTCGTCGCTTCCGGCGCTACAGGTAGAAGCAAGGGTCTACTCGGTCTGGGTAAGGACAGGGAGAAGGGTGCTTGGATCTGCGAGTATAGCAGCATGCGATGCACCAGCACGACGAGGCTGCTTTATTCACATGCGGTACTCCCATCCACTCTTCGTGCAGACCGACTGTGTAAGGACGCAGGGCCGCCGTTGTCACGACGCATGGAAAAACAATCTTGAATCAAGCTGCCTAGGCAGCTAACCAGTGCTGTCGTCCGACAGCTCAGCTGTGAGGCTAGCCTGCCTCAGAATGATCCAGGCCGGAAATCGCAGCTTCACAGACGCAGAAAGAGAACTCCCATCCTGAGGAGAGGTGGTGTGAACCTCGAAGCTGGAGCCACAGAAACCACAAGCCACGCCACTCGCACGCTGCATGTCAGCTGGACCAGGATTCGCTTTCAGCGGTGGCCGTGCCTTAAGCGGTCGCAGTACCGAGATTGGGCACTCTGGAATTTCTGCAGGGTGTTCAGACTCCTTCATTCTAGGCACGATAGCATGCGAGAGCCCAGCACAGCAATCAGCAGACAAAACACCCTATGTGGTACAAGTCTGGTCAGATTCCAAGCGGCCGAGCGCGATGGATCGGGCCGTCCGCTTGCGGCCAACATAGCAAAATCTCTGCGAAATCTTCTCTGAAGTGCTGTTGTCCATGGTAGCTTGTGGTAACTAGCTCGGCTCTTCGGATGGCTATGCTAAACTGTACTCCGCGGGTGGCCTTTAGCTGGCACGCCACCACGTCGAGCTAGCGCCTAAGAGTCTTTCTTTCCTGCACCAAGGCCGAAGGATTTCTCTCTCGCTCGCTCTCTGTCAACCTCTGGCTGGTTGGGTTGTCTTGCTTCACTGTGCCAGTTTTGCAAGTTTCGCCTGCCCGTCCATGCTTGTGCACATGCGAACGGCCTTCTGGTCAGCTAGGACAGCCACCATGCAAGTTCAACACACATCACAAACGAATCGGGCAGTCGTCGACCAGCAAAGTGTCCGAGTTTATGATTCCGGCTTATCGGGTACTTTCCTGGCATTCCCGGCCTGTTTCAAGGAATGGCCCCAGGTGAATGTGTTCAGCTGCATGAAGCCCGGGACAACGGACCACATCCTGCGCTGTGCTTCCGGCCCGCGGGCGCCTTTGACCGACTCTCGTTTCTCTGGGTTTCAATGCGCGAAAACTGCGGTAGCCCAGTGCTATGGTAGAATTTCTGCAGCCATTACAAAGTGCTGACAAAGTGAACGGGCTGAGTGGGCATTCCCTTGCGAGGACCGAACCTCTGGCAGGCTCACCAAGCTTGAATCTTGAAAAGCACCACGGTGCCGCTCCTGAGCGAAGCGCGCTGAGCTCTCAATCCTCTGGTCGGAAGAACTCAGTAGCTCAGCGGCACAGCAGACTTCAGCCGTAGCCGAGGAGCCCAGAGTGCCTTCGACCGGAAGACTCGACCAAAGACTTGGGCACGGCGTGGAATCAGCTCAGGGCCTGGTGAAGCAGCACAGTTAGAGAGTAGTGTTTGAATTACAGAAGCATCACTTCACTTAATCCGGTGATCACAAAGCTGCTGAGGATCGCAGATCAGTTTGAAGGCCTGGATTGAAGCATCGTGAAGCTGCAGCATGTCGCAGCGTCGGCAGCACGCCTTCGCCAATCAGAACCTGATCTTCTTTCACTGCCGACTCGGTGCTGCGCAAAGAGACACAGCATCATCCGGACTTACTCAGCCGCTAAATCTTGCGTGCCAAAACGACCGGTGCAGTCCCAGACTTGTACTACAGTGCTACAGGTACTAGCCAATGGAAAGCGACTTGGTGAGTTTTGATTCAGCTTAGAATAAGTTGGCAAGGCGGCTACGTCCAGGAGTTCGGAAACACAGAGATCAAAAGATGTGTCCTCTCACTGGCTAGCACTTGCTGCTCGTTGCCTCCGCGAATTGACATGAGATGCCGCGATGTCGGCACGCAAAGACTTAACATGACACAAAAGTGTCAATAATGCAAACCAATGCAAGCACCTGATGCCCTTCGTCTGCCCACAGCTTCCAAGTTGAGAAAGGTCGCCACAGTACTAATTTGACTAAAGCTGACTGAAGCTTCAGAAGCCGTCCTTGGCTTTCTCGTCGTGGAGAAGTTCGAAGGAGTGGCCCTCCCAAACCGAGCAGCATCGCTCCTTGCTGGCGGAGTAAATATGGAGATCGCGAGTGACCGGAACACAAAAAAAGAAAACGATATAAGTACTTCCGGTGATGTCCAAGGAGATGGCCATGAACGTTTAATATTGAGAAGCATGCCTTCGTTGCTGCACGACTGCCAAAGCATGCTCGCAGCATTGCCTATAGAGATCCCCGCCCGACCCTTCATCACACACGACCCATGTTCGCCTGCAAGTTTCTGCGCCATTTCTCCTGATGTTCTCACGCGCCGCTTCAGCTAGCGGGGGACATGCTTCGATGAGCACCACTTGTTCGAACAGTCCTCGCTCGGCAGGGGATCTTGCTTGAGCTTGACTCAAGTCCTCAAACCTTCCAGTCTTCGAATAGCTCATGGCGCTGGGAATTCGGATTCAGACCGGGTCACACGGCGAGGATCCACGAAGATTTCAGGGCCAAGTTTGCAAGGACTTTCAACTATGAGTGAAGTCGACAGGACAAATCATACTGGAAAGCTGCAGGAGTAAAGTGCAAGCTGACGCATGTAAGTATTTCCTGCCCAAACACTGCCTGGCTCCGAGCTGAAGGGTTTAGGCTTTGTGGCAGTCCCTACGCTGGCTGCTTCGGGAAGCAGTTGTGGAGCCGTTTATAAGTTAATCCAGGCTCCTGTTTGCCAGCAGAGCAAGCCCAGCAATCCGGAGCCACTTCCTTCCGAGACGATCCGGTACCAAAGCACAAGCAGACAGCCGTAATGAGACGTGTAAGCAGGCAAATCCGAGTCCTCAAAACAAACCTGAAGCGTGTCGCCATAAGTATTAACAAAGTCCGCACTGCGGCTGCTGCCATCAGCACGGTGTATCAAGGCCTCCCTACTCTTACAACTGAAGATCTGGTTCCCGACAAACCTCCCGAGTCGTGGCCTAAGTCAAGAGCTCTTAGAGCTTGCGACGGCTTTGCTCGCCTCCATTTGCAGCACAGATGCAATGAAAATTCTGCAGAGTGTTCAAAACTGGCACATCAAATTCGCATTGCAAACGTTTCCGGGCTGACCTCAGCTCTTCCGCCGCGCTTCGTATAGCAGCAGCATAGGCCTCTCGCCCAAGGTGTGTTAAAAAGGTTGGCCCAGCATCATCAGTCAGGGCGGCTTTTGGAGGGATTAGCGAGTGCCTCTCAAGCTCATCTATGCAGTCGTGCCACTCGGTTGCGGTCATCATCGAAGAGCATGTCGAAATGACCGAGAAAACCATCCAGACTCGCCATGGCTGCGAGCACCGAACTAGAAACTAGCACCCACAAGGCTTGTTTCGTCTGCGTACTCCTGGCTTCGCCCCAGCTGCGGCCAACATACGAGGTACTGTCAGTTGCCTTTAGTCTCGCGACGCTGGGCCAAAGCAACATCAGCTTTTTCCGGACACTTCTGCAAGGCTACACCAATTGAGAGATAAAGTGAAGCTACGACGTCTACGATGCAAGTTTGCTCATTGGAAGCAGCATTGCAACTTGCTTGCACTGCGCTCACAGACCTTTGTCTCGCAACCTGCGAAGTCTTCCCAGTACGAAGAGCCGTAGTCAACGATCAGCTCCGTACCTGAAGATAACCGCTGCAGGAAGGACGTGTCCCAACCTGAAGTCTCTCGTGATGCAAGACACGGCTTCCTATGTCTGTCTGCGACATTGAAGAGCCAACAAGAGCCATGAGTTTGCTGCAAGCTTCCACTCGGATAGGCCTGCAGAGACAGGACGTAGAGTCCGAAAATATGCGACTCGTCCGAGCTCGCAAATTTCGAGATTCACATCCTGAAAGCAGCAGAAGCTTCGACACACGCCGTGATTTATGCATGCCAGGCTGGGAAAGTTGGTCGACTCTAACAGTTTTTCGCTCGTTCGGCGCAGCAACCCTGAATTTTACAACCGGGTCTCGTCACACTGGTTTGCCATGCGGGCAGCGTTCACAAATCTGGCGGGATTTCCGCCTGGCACACATGGGCAGGAATTTAAAGGTTGTGCTCTCGCAGTATATTTAACGTTGCCTCTCTCTGCATTCCAAAGCAGGCGGGCCGAGGGACGCTGGAGGCGCTGCCCGTCCACACAGAAGCTCGGAAGCCAGGGCTCTCCCTCCAGTTTCCGATCTCTGGGACACCAAACCTTTGCAGCATGTTCTTCACAGCGAATCACACGCATCTCCGCTGTCAGAAGTGCACGCCATGCGTCGTAGTTGTCAACCTCTCGGGAGTACTCCACCCGATCCAGGTCTGCAAACAGCAAAGAAAGCCCCTGATACGGTGGCCTGGGCTGACAAAATCTCGGCATGCAACTGACACTGACACTGCACAAATGTCACATAGTACTCGGCGCGGTGTTTCCTGAGTACCTTCAACCCATCTGCCAGTTGCCGAGGCACAGCACCACACCCGCTGCAATGGCTTCAGCAGCAAAGAGGCCTTGCTCAAACTTCGAAAAGGTGATAATATGTGATAAGAATGCTGCTCGGGCAAACGGCACAAGTAGCTGCTCCGTGCTTGAATGCGGGCTGTTCTTCCGAGTCATCTTAGTGATGTGCAGCTCCGAATCTCGAAGATCGCAAGGCTCGGTGCGAGCAACCCAGGCACACTGCGTCCCAACTTGTTTTGCATGCATGATGGAGCCCCTACAGTACTTATCACTGTTAAGCCCGAGTCATGCCCATTCATGCACACTCCGCAGCACTTTACAATGACAATGGCTTGTCGCTGCCATACGGTGGCAAGCTTTAAGATCGCTCCATGTCGAACCGTTGCTATATAACTAGAGATGTGCCCGAGCCCGCGCATGCGCCGAGCGCGTTGCACACCACGGTCTTGTCGCTCGGGTGCACTCCCTTTGCAACTAGTAGTGCTCGTGGTCTTGTCGGCTATGTCGGCTATGAGTCGTTGTCAGCGAGATGCGCAAGGAGCTGAATGGAAAAACAAATGGAAAAGTACGGCTGGCCTTGGCCGGCACCCGGCAGCGTGGAGTTGCGCACGGCCAGTTGGGCCTCCTTCCGCTTCGACTCTTTGTTCCCTAAAGGCCAACTTGAAGCTCGGGCTCTTCTTCACACGGCTTGCTTGCTGCAGGTCTTAAGGGTCGCCTCCATAGAGGTTCCCCCCGCGCCTCTTTCTCTTCTCCTTCTTCCTGTCCGGGGTCCAGGGAGCTTGTCAGGCTCCCCACGCCGATTGGCGTGCCCCTGTTGTTGGGCCCTGTGGGGGGTCGGTAAAAAGACACGAGTGCTCTCTCTGTCTCTCTCTCTCTCTCTCTCGTCACACTCGCTGTCTCTCTGAATGGAATTTTAAGGAGCCCGCCCTGCTTTTTCTCCCATCTCTCTTGCTTGCTTGGGCGTTTGGGAAGGGGACGCAAGTTCCTCACCCCCTGCGCACAAGCGCTACGCCAGTGTCAGAGTCTGGTTCGTTGGAGTGAGACATGACTCCGACCCTGACCCTCGCACATACGAAAAATGATCCCCGCCTCGTGGGCTACGAGGGACGGTGGTCGTCGTCTTTGGGTCTCTCTCGCTCTCTCTCCCCCTCTCCATCTCCATCTCCATCTCTTCTTTCTTTCTTGGCCATAGTGGCTCCTCTGTCTAGCCCTCAGGCCCCCAGGGCTGTGGCTTTAGCAAAGCTCTCTCTCTCTCTCTCCGGGGCATGGGGACAAAGCTCTCTCTCTCTCTCTCTCTCCCTCGTTTGGCTTGGAGGGCACCCCCGCACCAGTGATCATCCACCTAATGGCTATTCGCAGGCTTGATCTTGCTCGCTTGCCTGAAGCCCCCCCCCCCCCTCCCCGCGCGAACGGCTGCAGCATCCCTTGCCCTTTCGCGTTCCGAGTATGGCTTGGTCACCGTCACCTTGGCTTGACAAGACATGTTCGGTCGTCTTTTAAGACGAAGCTTGTGTTCTACGTGTGTCAGCACAGTGAAGCACGCACTGTTCTTCACGGTCCATAGGCTCGATCTCTCACTTCTTCTCCCAGGCATTGGGGGGCGGGTCAGGCCCCCCGAGCAATTTGCGCGTGGCTTCTGAGAAAGTTCTGCAGGATGTGTTTACCGACTGAGGCCGAGGTACGCATACATATTCAGTTGTTTCAGTCAGTTTCACATCGCGGCCTCTTTCTTTCTTTCTTTCATTGGGCATGGGGGACTGTTGAGGTCCCGCGGCCTAGTGGCCCCCCACGTGTTATGGGGCTTTGAGGGGACGTGAAAAAGGAGCCTCTCTCTCCCTCTCTCTGTCTTCTCTCCCACTTTGGCCGGCACTGAAGTAGCATTTCACACAGCAGGCGAGAAAAGTCGATGGGGCATTAATGGTCTGCAGCACTCTCTCAGCTCAAAGCCGTACTGTGTTGGCCAAGTACCTCGCAACATGCAGGACAGCACAAGGCTCATCTCAACAGCCCATGCAACAAGACACTAAAGACACTCAGCAGGATTTTCAGGACACTCTGGCTTTCGGCGCACCTCCACAGTTTCTTCGAGCTCGAGCTTCCTCATTGCAGTACTTCCCTTGACCTGTTCAAAGAAGTAGCTTGGCTTGGGGCTTGGCAGTTGTTGCACAGTTGGACTCCGACTAAAGTGCTGGCTGGGTTGTCCGAAACTGGACAAGCCATCCAGAATTCAGCGATCCCGCCTCCAAAGCGGGGGTCACTGCAACTTCTTTGACGCACCTGGGCTCACGGGCTCAGGCGAAGAGTGTCAGAAAAAACGCAATGAAGCCATACACAATCAAGCTGGCCGGAAATAGCAAACAAAGCTCTGGACGTTCTGTATTCCTCTACCTCGGATGGCCAACCAACAGTCTGAATCTCATACTGCAGCGGCAATGGATGTGCTTCTTGTCTTCGGCACGGGGGTTGCTTTCGCCGGGGCCGTCACTAAATCAAGTAGAGCAAAGCGAGTCAAGTTGGCCTGGCATGCCATGGGTGATTGCTGAAACACTGCAAAAAAAGTCGCAGAAGCTAAGGGAGAAAACACTTCAACCATGCTCAGTATTTATAGTCATGTTGTAGTCCGTTATAGTCATGCTGAGCGGATAATTACGATATGCTAGAGCACAGGATACTTAAGAAAAGCTAGGTCATCGAATAGTCAAGGTATGCTAGAGTCATGCTGTTCTTCTCTCGGTGCCTCGAAGCCCTGCAGAGCCAGTTCCAGCTCTGCCTCTCCCATCCTCACGCCTGGCACAGCCGGCACATGTCGGGACTAGCCGCAAAGTTCGGTGGTGCTCTGGGTTGCAGGCTGTTCAGCAGAAAAGTCCGGAAGGAGGCCAAAGAGATGGTGCCGTCCTGTCTTTGTCGCAACAATGGATCCAGAATCTGCTGAACTCGGGGGGCTCCTCTGCAGTGTCGTCGCCTTCCAAGCCGGGGAAGCACACTGGGAGAGGCTCTCCCGGCACCCTCCCTAAACCCTTTCTTTACACCTGGACTACCCTAAACCCTAAACCCTAAACCCTATAAAGCCCTACTTGAAGCCTTCGCCAGCTCTTCGAAGCTGCTCGAAGAGCGCATCTGAGGACAAGTCGTGGTTGATGGCCTCGTAGCATCGCATCCCAGCCAAGAAGTTGTGACCGAGATCTTAAAGAATCACTACCGTGTCGCAAGGCCTCATACCGGGATTTATGAGGATCGGCAAATGGCAGGGTCAAGTTACACAAGGCATGACAGTGCCTCATAAGTGTTCACCTTCTTGCTGACATACAAAGAAACCCGCAAGCTTCAGAAAGAATGCAAGAGTTTGTGTCACTGCCTGCGATTTGGCGCGCCGGACCTCAGCCTAAGCCCTGAACCTCGAGAGTGGGAGCCCTACATGCACCAACCAAGGTCCCTGATATAAGCCCTGGCTTGCATGATGTCAGCGTTACTTTCTAAACCCGAGCTCTCAAACTTCAACTCGAAAGTCCCCCAACTGGCCCCCAATCGTCTTTACACCTGGGCTATGCCCTACACTTCTAAACCCTTTTCTGCTATTGGACTCAAGTCCAGCCAGACCAAGACCTGCAATCATCTTGACTAGGGCCGACACGCCCTAACCCCTAAACCCTAGCCCTCATGGCAAAGCCTTCCGTCGAAACAAGGGCCCAAACGTGCTCTCTGAGCAGATCCGCCACCATCTGCCGCCTTAGCAGGCCGCACCTACCTGTGGTTAAAACTGAGCAGTAGTGTAGCAGCAGCAGCAGCAGCAGCCGTCGTCGTCGTCGTCGTAGGTAGTAGGTAGTAGGTAGTAGGTAGTAGGTCGTAGTAGGCGCCCCCCCCCACCTACCAACTACCTCTCCTGAACACTGTTTGAGCGCACATCAATTTAAGTCGGTATTCACAGTACTTTCGTGATGTCGTCGTAGCTATACTTTCGCTACTACTGTCGTCGTAGTAGTCGTAGCAGCCGTAGCCGTAGCCGTAGCCGTAGCCGTAGCCGTAGCCGTAGCCGTAGCCGTAGCCGTAGCCGTAGTCGTAGGTGGTGGTGGTGGTGGTGGTGGTGGTGGTGGTGGTGGTGGTGG